CAACCACACTTGGAGTGGGTTGTTTCCGTAGGTGGATTTTTGACACGGATCTTGCCCGTGTTGAGATTGCGCTGGAACCCCCATTCCCTATACTACTAATGAAGCTAGTTGGATTCATAAGTTACTGAAAAATAACTGATTAAACTTACGCAAAGGCTGATCTTCAAAATTATTTTCAAAAAATACCTTGGAGCTGTTAGCAGGTCAAAAAGCGTCGGCACCCGCAAGATTGTAATGTTTAATAGTTCTCGAAATGTAGGGGTATTTTAAGCTATAGGGCTACATATAAATTAATAAATATACAAATAGATTTGATTTTAAACAGTTAAAATAAGGCGCACTGGGGTTTTTAAAGAGAACAGATAAAAAATATAAAAGAATTGAACAAAAAGTTCTTGCGATTTCGCTAAGGAATAGATAAATTAGTGCTAGGGATATATAATGATCGAAAATAAAGAAAAAATATATTATTTAAAAAATGACGGCTTGAGACTTTATTGTAAGCTCCTGTGTGTCAACGTGTAAATAAATTACTTACTTACTTAGGGGAACTTGAAATGGTTTCGCCCAAACCCCTCCCAGTAACAGACCTAATTATGGCAGGTCTCAACAAAACGGTTGCCGCTGTTAACGTGAATAATTGTGAAGTGTTTTTAAGCACCAGAAAATAACTGAATATAAACACGACTGGTTAGCTCTAACGATGTTGTCGTCAACATATCTTAAAGCTAACTACTTTTCACAGCTAAGAGAGCGAAAACTTGCATCCTCAATATTTTAAAATGTCAAAAATAACATGCAAAGAATAACATCGCGATCAACATTTATTTTAATTTACGAATTGTTCTATTTGCGTTTTGTATTCATTATATACAGAGAAATTTTTTTATATTTTTTTTCACAATTTCGTTCTTAGTTTCATTTTACCTAATTTCACGATAGAGAAAATGCTATTCGTTTCTGTAAATGAATGACTCTTCTAAACCTCTTTTTTGACATTAAAATAAACTTAATGATACCTACCAGGAATCTTCAGTTCATAAACTATATAAAATAAGTAAAATAATTTCCCAATAATTTCTACGAGGAAGTGAAAGAGTCTTCCCTCTAAGATCCCCCTCTTGGGTAGCTACACGTGTGTGAACCCTCACTCCCGCATGACGTAATACCGGAAGTCACCAAGTGGTACAGATTAACCAATCAGGTGCGAGGAATTTGCTGAGTCCACGGCGTGTTGCGCTGCGGTAGTATTTATAGAGCATGCTCGGTAGGTTCTTCCTCCCACTCGTGTGTTCACGTCGTTTGAGCTTCAACTCAAGAGAATTTCAAAGCGGATTTTAGCTGAATTTATCAGGCTAAAACCGCCAAAAAAAATCTAAAAAACACCACAAAAACTACCAAAAAAATCACAAAAGGTTTAAAACAGTCTTTGGAATTGTCCAAGACCAAAAAAAGAGAGCTTTTTCCTCACGAAAACGAAGAATATTCAAGACGAGTCAAGATGAATCCCTCGGCCGGTCCTAACTACCCAATGGCGTCTCTATACGTTGGAGATTTAGCTCCTGATGTTACTGAAGCTATGCTTTACGAGAAGTTCAGCACTTCTGGTCCTGTTCTATCTATCCGTGTTTGTCGTGATCTAGTAACGAGAAGATCTTTGGGCTATGCGTACGTAAACTTCCAACAACCAGCCAACGGTAAGTCGTTCTTCTCAACATTCAATGGCGTAGTAAAAAATCGAGTTTCTGTCTCAAATACGAAGCTAAATATTCCTTTAATACCTACTTTTACCCATGATATCCTTTATTTATATATTAATAGTCGTGTTGGTGTGTTTTTATAGCGGAGAGAGCTCTAGATACGATGAACTTCGATCCAATCAAGGGAAGACCATGTCGTATCATGTGGCAGCAGCGAGATCCTTCCCTTAGAAAGTCAGGCGTTGGCAATATTTTTATCAAGAACTTAGACAAGAGTATTGACAACAAGTCCCTTTACGATACCTTTAGTGCCTTTGGAAACATTCTTTCCTGTAAGATTGCAGTCGATGATCTTGGGAACCCCAAAGGCTATGGCTTTGTTCATTTTGAGAAGGGAGAGGATGCAGACAAGGCTATACTTAAGGTGGATGGAAAATTGTTGAACGATAAGAAAGTGTGAGTATACTCTCTAAGTAACACTAAACAATTAATACAAGTCTTGTTATTGCTTTGGAATGCTTAGCTGCGTTCTCAAAAGAGTTGGGTTGAAAACGTTTGCCTTTAACGAACAAATGAACAACCATCTTTGAGATTGATAGAAATAAGTTGTATGCCAACATTTAAGGGGAATTTTACTGTTTAATCTCTCTTTTGTTCATTTTACTTTTCATTTCCTCTTGTATTCTGTTCAAACAAGAGGATCTCCACTATCTGGAATAGGAAGACCACCTTACCAAGCAATAGACCAATCCTGGCTATGCTTGAGTGCCCACGGGTGGCGTAGCGGAGTGAGCGCTCGCCTCTCATCAATGTGATCTGAGTTCAAGTTCACCCGGGTCCGGTGTTGTATATGAGTAGAGTCGTTTGTTGGTTTTCTCCTTTCCTTCGAGGGTTTTCCGTGTTCTCCAGTTTTCCTCCCTCCGCAAAAATCCACTCCTAAATTCCAATTCGATCACAGAATGAGGGCCACAGGTTTGTTAGCTACTGGCTATTAAGTGCTACCCTCATTAAAAAAGGACAGTTTTTTTGCCCGCCAAAATGATGAGTAGTTTTCCCAACAGAATACAAAATGTCCGACCAACGAACTTGAATTGATGAGAGTTTTCGGTATTTAATCAATTGTATTCTTAATTTTCCTTTAAAATACAGATATTTACGATTTCCCACAATTAGTGTCTGTTCCATGCTGTATATCAAAAACACATATTCGCTTGTCCGACGTAGTGACAGTATCTAGGGGGGACATGAATCATTGCAGAATCAGTGTATTCTGGAACTAGATTTTGAATTCCTTGAAGATTTCCTATTCATTAACTGTGATTGACTCTTGGTCATACAACATCCATGCTACACTAGATAACCCATGGAACATTTGAATATTCTGTGCACTCAACTCGTGTGTTTTATATGGAGGGAAGAAAACCAGAGAAAAATCTTCATGTGTGAAAAAGACCATCAAATGAACTTAACTTGTGTGCTAACTTTGAAGAGACTTAAATGTGGGCCCCTTGCGAAAGTATGAGACCTTAATATAAAGACCACTTATGCTACCCTAGATCAATTCTGCTACCATACAACACCGATGCTACACTAGAACACCCATCTTACTTTAAACTACCCAAACCACCCTACACCAACCATGTTATCCTAGACCTAATCACTATATATCCAACACGTCGCATGATTTATATACTTGTAAACCATTACATTTAGTTATACTACACATACAGCATAACACAAAACTAACATACATATATGACTCTTTTCTACCACCTCTTTCTCTTTTACTCTGACAAAGGACTAGCGTCCGAAACGTTTTTTCATCTTTTCACAGTGTATAATTTACCTTTTTATCATTACTGTTTCATTAGAAACACCGACGCAGCTCACTCTAGTTTTTAGCTAGTTATCTCTTCTAACATACATATATGTAAACCTTGGGGGTATGCTCAAACGGAAGTAAAAATGCTGCGCAAGTCTCAATAAACCATAAATTTCCGATTTTGTTTTGTTTTGTCTTGCCTAACAATACCGTATGAATGTTTTTTTCTCAGATTCGTAGGACGTTGGATGTCAAAGAAAGAACGTGCTGAAAAAATTGGTAACCAGCCCAAAAAATTCACCAATGTTTACCTGAAGAACTTTGGTGAAGAACTGACTGAAGAGAGACTGAAGGATATGTGTGCTGATGCCGGCACGATCATAAGTTTGAAGCTTATGACTGATGATATAGGAAAACCTAAGGGCTTTGGATTTATCAGTTTTGAAACTCCTGAAGAAGCTGAGAAAGTAAGTATGGCTTTGTTTTTAGTGCATGCACCATTAATTCCTGGTCATAAGCCTTGGGTTTTTACTCATTTCAAAGAGGTTTTTGATGTGCTTGTAACTGGACAAAAAGAGTTTTGCATTTAGGGGTAATAGAGCGTTTTCACTCACGTAACAAGGCGACCATACCAAGCAATACACCTAGACCCAAAATGCTGCACGGCGGGTTGAAAAAGAGGCAATCAGGGCCAAATTTACAGTATTTTCTTATAAACTGATGCTGTAAAATTTTCTCTATCCTAAATGTAAGAAGAAAAGAAAGACAAAACAAGTGTATACTTTGCATTGACACCATATTATTTCTTTGCATTTGGCCCTGGATGCCTTGTTTTCATGTATCACTCACAGCCGTGTGCCATTTTAGGTGTATAGAAACTTTCTGCACAATTTTTGTATAAAAATAAATTCAATTTGTTCAATTCCCCGAAGATACAAAATGTATCGTTTTGGTACCCCTACATGGTTGCTGTGACGTCCAGTGATCAGGTTTAAAATTTTATGAATGTGACTATGGCCCCAAATTTTAATTAATCATGAGCCATTGCTGAGTGCAATGGGCCATGGCCAATTTATCATGGGCCAGAATTATATAAAAATTTAAAGCACCATATAGCACTTAAATGATTATGACTCCCCATTTCTGAAATAATCATGAAGATATAGAAATATAGATAAGTTATAGTGCTTGGGAACGAGGTTGTTCCGGGCGAAAGCCCTTGGAATTAAATTCGGAAAAATTAATTTCCGACCTCGCTATTTCACCCCGACCTGCTCTCAGTCTGACCACTAGCTCAGCTGGTAAAGCATCGGTAGTACAATTCTGAAGGTTGTGGGCTCGATTCCCAGCGAGGTTGGAAATTAATTTTTCCGAATTTAATTCCAAGGGCTTTTGCCCAGAATAACCTCGTTCCCAAGCACTATAACTTATCTATATTTTTATATCTTTATGTATTTCACAAGTGCTACGTGGCCCACATATTCTCATCTAAAATAATCATATAATTGAATTACGTGTCTTTTATTTTTATAATAAAAAATAATATAATCATTATTTGTACAAAACACAACATATTACTTTGATGGTCAGTTGTAGCCTTGTGGCGTACCATCGACGATGTCTTAAACGTTTCACAACCAGTAGTAAACAAGTTTATCTTTACATTCTTTATACACTCTGTGCAAAACATTTTTTTATCGTCATACTTCAGCCATGGCCAAATTTTTAACCATCTTTATATTTTCGAATCTTGGATTTCGAATCGTCAGTGTTTAATGTAGGACCTTTGTCTTGCGTATTAGGCTTGTTCACTGCTGAATTAATATCTTCAACGGACCCTATTTTTATTTTTTTCTTTACCACTCAATCTTTTATGTGTCAACAATGTCATGGACATGTAACACAAGAGGCAGGCTCCTAACTGGATGAATATTTGCATTACACACTAGAGGCTAAAATTGACTATTTTACAGTATTTGCAGCTTGGTAGCATCTTCCAACAACTTGAGATTCTATAAAATGAAAATTATTTATTGTGCATATAAATCAAAGATTATACTTATTCAATTGTCTTACGATCATGGCAGTTAGTTGGACCACAACGTTTCGACTGCTACTACGAAAAAAACTTGTCAAAGCTAATCGTTCCTGCTAGTCTTCATCAGGTGATGGTGTAGACTGAAAGGTGCTCTTCTTATATACCATCAGTCTGGCTTCCTTTGAGATTCTTCTGTTTCATTGCTTGTACTATTATTGCTTCACGTTTCTAATTGCATAACCCTTTGCATTGCATTCTTACAGGCTGTGGAACTCCTCAACAATGTAGACATAAATGGGCGCAGGTTGTATGCTGGTCGTGCCAAAAAGAAGGCTGAAAGAGCAGCTGAAGTGAAAGCTGAATTTGAGAAGAAAAGACAAGAGCGTATGAGCCGTTTCCAGGGTGTCAATCTCTACATCAAAAATCTTGATGACCCGATAGATGATGTGCAGCTCAGAGAGGAGTTTGCTGCTTATGGCACAATCTCTAGCGCCAAGGTCATGAGAGATGAAAAAGGAAACTCAAAAGGTATTAAGAAATTTCTTGGACACTATTTCATCTCTGTAAATATTCCCTGATATTCAATTCGCCTTCAGCGAATAATTGCCCTATTTCACTATGA